CGTAGGTTACCCTACCGTTCGGGAAGAAGTGTGCCTAACTGCGTTTATGATATTCAAACAGTTGTGTTTGTACCGACAGTGGAAACAATATGTAATTGTTTTACAATCGGAGGGCACTGGACACGTAGTGTCTACGCCGTCGATCACCGCTGTCTGCAACCCGTACAGCGGTTTCTCGCTTCGAAAACTTCGTCGGGCGAACGTTCGACGAGCAAATGTCGATGGAACGAGCGCATACGTAAATCGTGTACCCCGTGGCAGTAGCTAGCGACGTTTTCGCGCGTGTTATTATTTCTGATTCGAGTATTCAAACGTCGGGAAAATGCAATACCGGCGTCGGTCGTCATAAGCGTACCCGCGCCGAACACGAGCACTCGCCGCCCGTTTCGTAAACACGACGACGCAGCTGAACCCTATACGGTCCCGCTGTTCAGCGCACAAAACATGATGTAATGCATAAATCACGTCCACCGAACGTAATCCTGTACGCGATCGTTTCGCGTCCGAGTCGGTACGCACCTTTGACACCCGAGCCGCAGGTTTTTACAACGATTATTAAAACAGTCGGTCGGATTTTTTTTTTAATTTCTCGTTTTTCTGTCCTTCTTATCGCGATATTATCGTTTCCGGGCCGAGCGTGCCGGAGTCCAGTTTTAACGAGTACGTTTTTTTTTTTTAACGGCAGCGTTTGCCGATTAAATGAAAAGCGAATACGTGTCTCGCGAATTCCCCGAACCTCGGCGGCAACGAACCATTCATCGCGATATTTTTGTAACATCAACGCGACGGTGTGTAACGTACGACACGATACGCGCGTGCGAATTCGTTGACGCGAGCTCCGGTGATGTTTCGGCAGTGATTCACGCATAGGCTAGGGGGTGTAATAGAGTTTTTAGTACCCTTAAGTTCAAATGTAACACTCCTATTTTTTTTTTTGTTCAGATCCATATAATCTATAGTGATTACAGTTAAATACCATTTAGTTTTATTTTCAGCAATTTCAGCACCTTCAATATCTAGTTTGTCTAGTTGCGTCCACGGTTGCACAGTTTAGGGATCGTATTCGACGTGTTGCTAGGTGGCTCGGTGTCGTCTTCCGACTATAGCAGGGATGGCAAACCTTTTGAACATTGAGTGCCCAAAATTACCTTTTTTTTTTTTTTTTTATATATATAGAGCGTGCCATGAAAAAAATATTAAAAATATTATATTTTGTTATATTATAATTTGATTGTATAATTAATGTATTGGTATAAAAAGGTTAGTTTAGGTACATAATAATTATAATAATATTGCTTTTTTAATTATTTATATTATATTATATTATAGGTCCTATAATATTGTGTATTATATAATATATAATAGTAAAAATTTTCTTGCGTGTCATAAATTTACCATCCCTGGCCTATAGGGATGTTTCCACACGGCGTCCGGGCGACGGAAATCCGTTCTGCGCGCGCTTGCATCTTATAATCCTATCGTAAGTGTAAGAAGTGTAAGTAGGTTCACGTTTATGTAGTTCAGCGGTTCCCAAAGTGTGGACCGTGACGCTCTGGTACGCCGTGATGTCTGTACAGGGGCGCCGCACCGTCATGAAATAATATCTGTTCCAAAATTGTCCGTATGATTAGCCATGCTATGACTTGGGCACCCTGAAAAAGCCTTGAATTAAAAAGGGTGCCGTGAGTCGAAAAAGTTTGGGAAGCACTGATGTAGTTCGTTGAATGTAAACGATTTTATAATTAGAATATCGTTTAAAAAATGTGTAAAACAATTAGATGTTTGCGATTTTCATCATTCGATATTCATCATATAATATTATTATCTTTGTTCATTATGTATATGATATTTTTTACAAAATTTGTCTGTTCTGTCTTGTTAGTTAGAAAACTAATAGTCGTTTTATATTAAAATACATACACAATAACCTAACCTAACCGTGGCTGATAGCTTATACGGGGTGCTGCAATATTTAAGTATCAAATATTTGTGAAATATTGTAAATATTCTGTTGCAGTGATGAATTGCTAAAATAAATCATGGGTATACCGCCTTATTTCGGGTAGTAACTATCATATGGTAGGAAGTTTATTAACCTACTAGGAACCAAAAAATGTTTTCTCCGTTCGCTCGAACAATATTCACTTTACTTGTATTCACTTAAAACCTGATAGAATATTATACTTTTGTATTTATTCTATAACACTATATGCTATACAAACGGAATAATTATTTTATTAAGTGGTTATTGATTTTTAATTTAATCACTCTTCATATCTCTATCTATTTTGAAAGTTAGAAATCACGTGTTTATGGTACACATTTATAACATGACATACAAAAAAATGCCAGGCTTCGCTTAAATTTTACATCACGTTTATTACTGTCACATTGACAAAAAAATTTAAACAAAAAAAATTTAATCAAAAAAAATAGATCATATTTTAGTTTACTTTTTTTTTTACGTCAGTATTCTCCAAAGACTTGTTTTGTTTTCACTGTTTTGATCTACATCTGGGTGACATAATTTACTTCTATTGTCTTCTGCTGATCTATGATTTATCATCTACGAATTCACATAGTCTTTAGGATCCCACTTTTCTAATGAAAACTTGTTAAATGAAAACAAATTTGAATTTTTCATAAAAAAAAATAAAAAAATAATAATATATCTGATACCGAATCTCGTCATAAATATAACCAAAAGTTTTACTATTTATATTTATCAAATTACAAGCTATACGCTAGATACGGCCGTTACCCGCGTATCATCAATTTCTCATAAGCTATATACCATGAATAAAAATAGCGTATTGGGTATACGCCGTATACCCTCCAATACACCACTGCTCTATTGTTGCAATAAAGTTTATTATTGTAATTAAAAAAATAAATGCTCTACATCGCGTAACAAACCGTGGCGTGTGATACAGCCGGTATACTCTTGGCCGTCGACATAACCGCATGCGAACGTATACTATAGTATTGCAATGCATCGTTTCCCATGCAAAATGTTTCCGATGAATGTTCGTTAAACTAATGACGAGAATAATATTTTAACCATTAACGAAACAATTATTTTTTTTCTCTCTTTTCTTTGTTGAGTTACGTAGAATTGTGTTAAGATATATGATAATACGATTACAATCAAATGGTTATAATTATTATAATTATTAATGTAGAAAAATAGAATGCATCAATATTTTATTTTATTTTTTTGGCGAAGGATCGCAAACAGAGGAAATGTTTGGGTTGCCAAAACAAAAACGATAAAAAAAAAACGGGAAAAACGAATCGTACTCAAGTCGCGTTTCACAAACACTTTAATATCATCGCGAAAAACTTTGAGCGTTTTCATTGGATTCGATAAACCTACAGACAAAATAATACTTGGACACATCCACCGTGCGATTATAATAACAGTACACATGACGTGTCAAATAATCGTGCTACTGCACCTGCTGCGTATATAACCACGGGAACGTGCCTTTTTTTCCGATTTAACTTTTGAGCGCAGAGTGTCTGCACCCAATAATATATTAACGGTCAATTATATTAGATTTATATTTACGAATAATATCATGTCTTGTACGCAATAGTGTCTTATTGGTTTTGAATAATGATGTATTGAAGCGTATTTCGAACAGGTTATACTTAGATTGCCTCCAAAAATCAAATCTGTAATAATTCACCTTATTTTGAACACGGTGGCGATACTGATGATGTAATATTAATAATAATAATGCATTGTAATGAACACGTCAGAGTAACATAGTAATTTATCATTGCTACATACAAATATATAATTATAAATTGTATTATAAACGAATTCTACAGTATTTATAAATAAATTTTAGAAATAAAAGCCTTAAAAGTGGTGGTATCGTTTGGGGAAAATGTTTTCAGTGCCGTTTATAATCTTACAGTCTCCCACTTTATATCATTGAAATTGTTAGTTTAGCAAAAATTACAAACCCCCCCCCCCCCCCCCTCCACTTTCCTCCAAGTTACACCAATGATTGCCTCGGTTTGGTTAAGTACTCAGTTGGATACTTTTGTTGAGAAAAAATTCTGTAAACTTGTGTTTAAATTCGTATGACTGAATCAATTGTTTGATTGTTTTATAAAATTGAAGTGTGCTTATAAAATTTGTTTAGACAGAATAAATACTTAACTCTGTTCTCTTGAAACTTGTTATTTCAATAAAAAAAAAAAAATTAGGAATATTATTCTGTTACGTGTTATATTTTCAATGGAAATTCGAACACGTCAACCGAGGGCAAACAAACTGATATTCTAAAACAACCGCAGCACCGTGCAATTTTACTTAATAATGATGATTATTATTATTGATCAAAAAACCTAATGGCAATCGATTACGACGCGTATGTATAGCATCGAACGACTTTAGGGCAAGCGAACAGGATAACATTTCATTACAAGATTTCCGAAGCAGTAATAGCACAACGATATCGAGTTATCGGAACGCAATTCGGATCGTTTAACACGAGGACAAAACGAATTCTTACGCTCATCGATTGTGAACACGAAAATTCTAATTATACTAACAATATAATAAATCATAATGATCGCTTGCACAATTGCACGACGCGATATACTTTAACGGAGGTAATTATTTTTAATGTAGACACCGAGCGACCATTGTTATTTTAATGAAACACGGCTAATGTGAAGTAGAAAGAAAAAAAATATAGAAAAAAGGTGCGCTCTTTAACGAATTTCGCTCCTATAGGATTCAACATACAGACTCCCCTTATGTTGTTCTTTTCGATTACGATTGCGTAATTACAATAATGTAGCGAACACGCGCGTACAAGTTATTCCGAAACATGATTTTTGATTTTCATTGCTTCTCCCATTCCGTCGGAATGTGAACCCGGTACACATTATAAAAAATGAATCGTACATAAAACGGAATATTATTGTCTACGGCGGAACGGTCGCGCGCATCTATTATTCAGTCGGACGTTGAACAATCATCAGTAGACGTGTGTACTGCACACGTACGTGTGTTGTGCGCTGTACGATATTAATACGTACCTAGACGTGATAGTGCAAACGCAGTGGTGCGGTGGACAACATCAGTGGCGTAGCCAAGAGGGAAGGGCTGAGGGTACTACAAACCCCCCTCCTCAAAATGTTAAGAAAATTATATTGATGGTCTGTGAAAATCGCTAAAAAAGTAAGAATATTTAAAAAATTTTAGTTTTATAACATTTTACAGCTATCTATCTGTGGTAGTAGGTATTTAATGCATATAATATTGTGCATCTGTTGCGAAAAACTAAACTACTGCTGTATAAAAACTGATCAGCCCTCCACCTCACCCCAAGAAAAATCCTGGCTGCGCCACTGCACAACAGCATACGATTTTAATGATCAATAGGGTGGTGGGGGTGATAAACATGTTTTCCACGAGTGGAGGACGGGGAAAAGTGTGGAGCCGGATGAATCATAACAAAAAACGAACTGCACGCGCACGAATGTGTATTTTTATGCGTTCCTTTTAATTTGCATGCCCCCGGGCATTGCGTTTTTGCATATTGCACAACCGGGTACATCATGGCACATCGCTGCACGTGTGTGTCATGTTGCGTCTCTCTCTGCGGTCAAAAAGTCCCGGACGAAGTCTCGTTCGTTCGGTGGTTTTTCGTCGACGACGTAACGCTCGTTTTTTTTTTTTTTTCTTAAACTACGTATTTTACTACGGCTGTTGTCGGCCGTCGTCAAACTCGTTTTCGGGCCCCGAACAATAATCGTTCTTCCAGTGGCGGTAAAGATTTCAATCGCGTCCGTCGGGATTCCGATTTTTTTCCGCGTTCGGACGATGCCCGGCGATGATTTTCTCCTTTTATTATTATTATAATTATAACGATTATTATTCGTCCGATTAGGATCGTATTATTACGACTTGTGTAATACGATTCGTGGCTGTTTAGTATTTAAATTAAAAGTCAAACGCGCGCGTAATAATAATCGTGTACCTCGACGCGTTATTTCACGTGTTGATTATTGTACGACGTGGTATCGGCCCCGCGATCGTCCGGTGCAAGTTTTTTACGTCCCTCCGGTTTCGTGGAATTCGGTAAAAAAAAAAAAAAGTCTACGGGCTCTCCGCATTTACTGTTTACACGTTAATAAACACGTTAATAAGATGTTACGCAAGTGGACGCATTTATTGCGTCCGTGTGATTGTCCGTCCGTGAGAAAAATTCAAATGAAATATGTATTACAATCGGAGTGTTTGTACATATGAAAAATATGTGTGTGTGTGTCGTATTCGAGTCTATACGCGTACCGGACGAACAAAGAAATGTTTTTATTGTCTTTTTTTTTTTTTTATCCCCTATCAATCCTTTTCTCCGAATTTTGTTTACATTCCGAGCGGCCTTGGACTCCGCGCAGATAATAGCGTCGTTTAATTATTATTTAAAAAGATGATCATCATTCATCGCGGTCGTTTGTACTTGGGAATCGATAAGTTCGTGGTCGCGCGTGGTACACAGAGACGATCATTAGTCACCGAACGGCGGCGCGGGTTTGTTCACATGCCTAGTCGACAAAAAACGTCAACTATTTTTTAATCGATTCACTGCCTCGGATGATGCACGATGACGACGGTTGTCGGTATTAACTATTTATTTATGTTTTAAATATTTTTTCTATCTTTGATAATTGAAAAAAAAATAACATTTTAATGTTTGGAATGACCTTTGAACGCGCGAATAGGTTTTATTTAATTGTTTCTCTTCTTGCGGTCGATACGAGATACACGCGCAGAGAAATTTTATAATTGCAACGTATCATCATTACACGCACGTGCACGTAAATAATCATAAAAGTGATTGAATACGATTTACGTTATAATCTCGTATATTACGTACAGCAGATTTATAATTCATCGTTATACTGCAACTAACGACGTTTATCCGCGGTGCGCGAGTTATGGCCGTCGATGCGTGAATACGATTTCGTGCAGTTTTTCCCAAAACGTTGGGAAAATATCGTCGGCAAGGGCTTATTCGACCCACCCTAGGGGGTAGGCGACCGGCTTTCTTTTCAAATCCACCGCATATTATGACACAAAAGTGGTAGTACAATAGTCGTGGTGATTTATTGAAAGATTTTTTTTTTTGGGGGGTGGGAGGGGCGCACATAAATGTATTAGACAAGCGGATTAAAATAAATTAACAGATATTGTACTTCATTATTTTTATCTTTTGATTTTTTATAAAATATCGGATGATCGTAGACCGGTGAGATCAACCATACATCATTATGCGTATCGTTGTATCCTACTTGTGATTACATTGTAATGACTTATTTTTTATATTTAGTTTTGTTCGATAAATTTTACAAACTATGTTTGAAAACAAGTATGTATATTAACGGTATGGACGCACAGTTGCTCTGAATAAATAAGGGCACATTATATTCTTCATTTACTCTTATTAATTCTACATATTTATTAGAAAACTTATTTCTGTCTTAAAAATATGTTTAAAGAAAATCTAAACTTGATTTGACAATTCAATCTTTTGGTATATCATTAAATACAAGAAATAGTTTATACTTACAAATAAATAAATATATAAATAATAGTTCGGCCTGGAGTTATAATTGTAAGGTATAACTGGTTTTGAATTAAAAATTCATCATCAGGTATATACAAAGTTAATAAAATCGTGACTGAATATGAAAAAATGGGAAATAAAATAAATAAAAAATTATTTACGATTTTATTTCTTCATATTCAGTTTTAATTTTATTAGCTTAGTATATACTTGATGATGAATTTTTAATTTGTAACCGGTCGTACTTTACAAATATAGTAATACTCTAGACTAAGCTTTTATTTATTTATTTATTTCTACATATAAACTATTTTTTTATTTATTCATATATTAATTTACAAGTATTAACTATTTAATAATTTTTAATTTTTTATTATTTTGTTATTTAGTATTTTTAATTATTTTTATACTACATAGATCATTTAAAATTAAAGTTTTTCTTATAGCACACATAAATCTGATATAATTTAATTCCCTCACTTCCATAAGTATATTTTACGCGTAGCATCGGTAATTTACGTTGTGAAAAAATAATACAATAATCAACGGACTTTATCAAAAAATTGTCTATATAACTACGCCTGAATTATACAATGTAGACTTAAAAATACATGGATAGTAGTTAGAATTTTAATTTCTAGCGCGTCATAATAATCGAATTTTAATCAAAACTTATGACAAATTTTATACTGAAAATCCGCTTGTTTACTGCTAGTTAATGACCTTCACTTTATTTATTAATTTACTTGTATTGTTATTTAAAAGGGCTAAGGCTCAATACCTGTTGTATAATATGTTTATAGTTGTAGGTGATTAAATATATTTAAAAATGAGTAACATGTATAAATCAATTAGAGAAACAGTAAATAAATAGGTACTAATAATATTACAAATTTTAGTAAAATAAAAACATTAATGTGACTACTGATAATATCTATTAATATGATTACAAAATAACTTAATAGAGTAAAAATTGAAAAATTCTGTTTGGGTATCATCAGCTAATTTAGTGGATATATTAAATAGATTAAAAATGTACCTTTAAATTTTAAAAACGCATTTTTTATAGAGTTTATTCTGTGAAAGTGATTGCGAAGTGTATAATTATTCCTGGTTTGTCGCCGAGGGACATAAATGTCTCTCGTAAATGATATTTATGTCTACGATACAGATGGATTTTAAAGATTGCTACACCAACATGTAATGTCTGCAAGTCGAAGATGTAGAATTTCTTGGAGAATCCGTATCTGCAGATAGATCGTCGGTGATCATATATCGTCACCTATAAGATGCAAGTAAGTATGAGCAGGTCCTCCCGGGTTGGGGACAACATAAAGACTGATATCCGATCACATTTGCGCTGTTTTTCTTGGTATAAGATTTAGTGATAGCACATTTTTGCAGAAACGTGTTTTGTCAAGACCGTTCAAAACCCGCAGGTGTCATGTTTTGTTCCAAGCAACCGCCCCAAAATCGGTAAATAACGTAAGGCGACGGATAATATAAGAAATATACATGCGATTAGATAAGCAATTGGAATTGAATAGATAAAAACGAACGTGGACGCTTATTTAAAAATTGAATAGTATTTGATATAAGTTTGCCGTTGGTCATATTAATGAAAACTAAACGTTTTGGAGACAGTGTTCGTCTGTTGAATTGTTTTATACACAATTCGAATGGCAAAAACAGCAACGACTAAAAATACAATTATTTTTATGCAAATGAAAACCGTTCGAACGGTTCGGGTGAACTCGAAGAAGTGGTACCGATATTTTTCCGTCGATAATTTCTACACAGCCATCACCGTACTATTAACTACGATATCATAACGCGCGCGACGTATCCTGTAGACGGGCTTTGGTATGCTTTATTATACGATATAATTTATAACGTATTATAACTAAAATTTGATCTTGCAGCGGATCGCGGTCGAATCCAATCGGAACGCGGGATTTCGCCCGTTTCCACTAGCCATCACGATATTATAACGCTGTAACGCATACCTACGAAAACGATAAGAATTCACGATAAGAACACGCGTGGCGGAGAGATAAAAACCTTTTGTTTTACGCGTTGACCCGCGTGCACATGTTATCCGGTACGCACGACGGCCGGCGACCAGGAAACCGCTGCGTACGCCCGCGACGTTCTGTTTTCACCTCGGGTGGTGCAAGTATACGATTATTATATTACTAATGTTTCAGTAATATGCCCACGGACGGACGCACGAGGTATAATGATGTATGATATTACGCGCGTGTTATTATCTCGGGTTCTTATCAAAAACGGGAAGGAATCGAGCGGTCCATTAGGCGGGGTTAACTCCTCGGGTAGTGCGCGCGGCCGTTCTGAGCGATAAATTATAGCGAAAACCGTCGTCCTACGTCATGTCGTAGCGTGCTTAACCCCGTACAGGATACGTCACACGTATTACGATATCGTACGCGCGTTTATAACGATTATTGTTAGCAATACGAACGGTGACTGAATCTTATTCGCGGGTGTACGAGTCGTCATCGGCGTCGCTGTGGGCGAATGATTTGCGATGAAATCGTCAGAAGGACTTGTCACGGATAATTGCTACCATTAGTAAATATTTTATGCATTACATATTATTTATTATTGTACATATATATACTCGTATGTTATATTTTAGTACATTTTTTTTTTTTTTTTTTTACTCGTATTTTTCCACTTTACTTGTTTATTTATGAAATTTCTTGTACAACGTAGTACCTACAACACGTTTTTTCGTTTTTATACGTTACACTGAATTCTGGTGATCATTCAGATACAACGTGAAATAATATACATCGTGAACACATCAAACGAATCACGTGAAATTAATATTGTAATATAGTAAAATTATTTTGTAACCATGCATCTGTAGGGATTATCAAGTCACGTATTACCATTCAACGTATAATGTTTTTCGATCGTCGGCAATGGCGAAATGCATTTCTAACACGTCCAATGATCATAGGACGGATCATACCCGCAGGAAAATGGACAGTTTTTCACATGAACCAAACATATCCAGTCTACTGCGTTTCAAGGGTGTGGGATAATGCGGTGGATCTGGAACGACAGTGTACGTGTAGAAAAATGATTGTACGCTACTATTACTGCGTTTCGGCATTGTAAATCTGCAGACCACTATATCGGCGGAATAGGAATGTCGTATCGAATCCGACAGCTAAAACAGCCGACAGCGTTCAATGTAATTTACTGTCTCGGGCGTACGAATAACGCAATCGCTCTGCGCGTTTCATCCATATCGCGTGCACGTGCGTACCTGTTGCCGCAGGACGTGCCAGTGGAGTACGCAAGTCGGACCGTTACGAAATGTTGCAAAAATCATCCCCTGCGAAATCTTCACGTGGATGACAAATCGATTATCGTTATTATTCGATAACGTTCGGCAGTGCCGTATTTCCCAGTAAACACTATAAGCTAGTGTTTAGGGCGGAAATTTCTCAAGGGCGGGCAAATCATTTGTAACACTACATTTTTTATTATAAGTAACTAGAACTAAAATAAATGCAACTAATTATAAAATGTTTTATCTTAATAATAATTGCTTTAATTAAAGCCGATGGGTACTGGACACTAACTATTTAATTATGAATATAATTTAAAAATGAACTATTTAAGCATTTTTTACTATCATGTTTTTTTATCATTATATTTTATATCATATTTTTATAATTACATTTTACATCATTAAAATTTCAAGTAATAAAACAACTACTTATATAATTGTATGCTTCCATAACATTTTTTAGACTAGAAAAATATTTCTATTAAAATGCAACAATTTGTTTAGTGCTTAAAGCGGCACAATGGTTAAATCCGGCACTGACGTTCGGGGTGACCGTGTAATGGCTTGAGGCCATGCGACGGGAGTGGTTGAAAATATAACGGATAATCTTTACTGTTCTCGTTGACGTACAGCAGGATACGTCAAATGGATCCTAGCCGTGTCGGGACACCCTGTATACCGATCGTTATGACGCGCGCGATCCTGCCGCGTACCAAACGCGTTCTCGTTTCGGGAAAAAATAAATACAACTAAAAACAGAAGTGTACTCGTAAAACAGCCGCACGCGCAACTGTGCCACTCGCGTTATGCGCGTCGCGTCGAGCTGTCAACTATTTTAGTATGTTTCCAGGTGTCGGTTTATGACCCATCAAGTGTCATAATATATGCACAACTGCAGGGGAGCCGGGTGAATAAAAAACGCCCGGACGACGCGCTCCACTATTGAATAACGTAGTACAATCGGGCGCGAGGCTCTAGCAAAAATGATAATATACAGAACGTATAATGTACATCAAGTTCCGAAACACGTCTGATTTCGGGGGAGGCACTTTTTAATTCTGTTGTTACCATTGATTTCCATACCAAACCGCCCAAAATCTTACCCACAATTTAGTTTTCAAGGGACACAAAGTGTGTTTGGACACGCATTATCTTACTTTTAAGACATTCGCGGTACGAAACATTGTGCAGGACGCGTCGGAAACGTATTTTCAAAACGCTGATAAAAGTCGTTTAACGCGCCCTGTATACTACGTGCATATTACCATTGATTTTAATATCAATGATATTACCTTGAGCACGTTCGTCGAACAAATTATAATATTTGCATGTGTGCAATACGTTTATTGTGAACGCCGTGAACATTTTTAAGCACTTAACGTAACTTAACGTACTTAACTTAATCTACAATAAAAGTACCTAGTAAAAAGAAAAAAAAATCTTAATTTATAACTGTTTCTTTGTATTTCAATTATGGTACAATATATTAATTATTATATGTAAGGTACCCTTTTTTTTTAACATTTATATAAATAAAAAAAATTACTTAATTAGTCAGTCAGTTTAAATTCAAATTTCAAAGTTCTAGGTCGAAACAGGTGGGCCAACTTCACAAGTTCAAAATCTTATAGTGGCCAACTGAATAACATTCAAATACATACAAATAACTTGCAACATAACTGCACAGATTTGAAAAAATTGCAATCCTTAGGTGAGCCAACTTTACGAACGTCGTCTCGGGCAAGTATAATAACATCTATAACCCCTCCGCACAGGATTGATAATCGAGCAGACCGAAATGAAAAACTTGATGCTCATGGCGACCGACAGAAGAATCTTTAAGTTAATTTCCATAATAAGATAGTCGATGGCTTTCGGGAAATCGTTATAACCAACGGGCCCAACGCTCCATAACGAATATTGTTGCAACTCAATTGTTGCGGTCGGTCAGGTCGCAACATATATAAATAGTTGATCTCCCAGCGAAATCTGAGGACACAGTCAAATGTATACGTCATTAAACAATATTAGGTAATAGAAAAAATACACCAGTATTGAGTTTTGTAGCGTAATCGCAGCCGTAATTTTCGTTCTCGTCAATACTCAATAGAAATAACGGTTAGAATGCAAACATCGCATGAAATATACTCGTAATTATTTTTTCAGCGATACGATTCTCAGCATCGCAATAGGTACGATATATTACGACCCGTTGGATCCCAAACGGCTTCTGTCTATTGTTCGCTTATTCCCAAACTTCTCCCGTCCAAAAAGGTCTAACGAACAGGTAAATTCCTGAACGGCTCCGGTTTTGTACACCACAAATTCCTTCCCACTTAGTACAGACTTAAGGTACGATTTGGCTAGAGCGACCGCGACAGCGACCGTGTTTCACTGCGTCAATGTTATTATATGTACCTTAATTGTGCTTAACAATATTTTTATTTATACATTTTTTAAATATTTTTTTAACGTTAAAAATTTAAAATTTAATATTATACTATACGCTTTTTTTATATAATTTTAATAATTTACATAGTTTACACAAAGACATTTTTAACCACACCTCTTTTGAGACAGTCCTACGTCTGTATAAAGTGGGAAGGAATTTGTGGTGTACAAAACCGGAGCCGTTTGGGAATTGACCTTTTTGTAAAACGGGAGCCGATTAGAGAAACGGGAGCCGAACGGGCTACGGCCTTACGACCATGTACGCGTACCGGAGTTGAAAACACATGAAGATATATTTTCGACTGTACAGCTTCCGAATGTAAAATCCAACAGTGGAATCTAAAGCATCCATAATAGTATACAAGCACGATGGGTTGACAACAGACCACGGACAAAAATATCAATACGATTGAAAATCACACGTTTTCCACCTGGGTTTTAAACGAAACGCGTTTGTCATTCGTTTCGCGGGACAAGAAAAAAATATTAATAATAATAATAATGAACACTATGAAAATGCGATTTGCGCACCGAAAACCAGCTCATGCGCTCTGCAACGATCGATGACACTCATAAAGTTGTGTGCCAACGTGTTTTTACGCTCGTTATTGTTACGGCTGCGCGCGAGTCGCGTCCCGACAAACGTAAATCGCGATAAACGCTGCACGCCGTTTTGACCGGGTCACCCGAGCGACTGTTAAATTTCGAATTGCACAATCTCAGCTCTGCGCCGGTTGCGTAATATCCAACGTTTACTTTTCATTAAACGCGTTATTCGCATACCGTTTTTCGTTCTGCACGTTCGTATAAAATGTTCGTAAAAACGGATGCGCGCGTCGCGGTTTCCTCGTGCACATCATCCCGATCAATGCGTTCGGTGTACGACGTCGCGTTTCGGCCGAAAAATCCGAAAAATTGAGTCATCCTTAGGTGGCGTGAAATATTTTACTTCATAAGTCCTGTTAGGATTTTGCCCACCCACTCACCTACCTAAACAGAAATTTAAGGGTAGCTTGTACAAAGAACTCCCTCACTATTCGTTCTACATGCTTCATACCCACTCGATACCCAATCGTCAATACCCACCCACCTACCCACCCACTGATTTAAGTCCAGGGACTCAAAAATCTGCAGTCACGCCGCCACTGCCCAACGCGCACGTCATCTCCTCTTTACGGTAATCGTAAAATCGTTCAAATCGCAACACAGTGCCGGAGCGTCGTATTTATTTATTTATTTTTTTTCATTGTTAGCAACCGGAGCGACAGACCGTCGCCGGATTAGTCGGCGGTGGCAACGCGTTCGGAGACGGAAGAACGTGTCGGAATACAGATCGAATATCGCCCCATCGCACTCGTGTTCGACGGGGGTTGATCAGTATCGTTTGTCCGGACGGACGGGGAGGAAGCGACGATCGGATAAAACGCATTCCCCCTCGTCGTCCACGGAACGATGATGATGAGACGGGCACGTTCGATCGGAAATCGTCGATGATCGTCGGTCGTTCGATCGCGTATTTCGGACACGACGGGCTAGGAGTGCACTCACAAGAACAATAAATCGTACCGTCCCGATAAGTATCGGCTATGTTTATATTTGTCTATTGTGATTTTTCAAAAATCGAGGCGTTGCCGTTTTCGCTCTCATCGACCATATGTCGAGGTGCGTGGGTTGTGTTTAGATCCGACGGTTGCGTTGAAACCTCTTGTGGTTTTAGGGCGTCCGGTGGACCGTACAATCCTGTGCAGAGAAACGTCTCAACATTTTGATTCTAGGTTATCCTACGATTTGCATAAGAACTAGATAGGTGATCGTCCTCTTAGAAACGACCTGAGCGATATCGTTGACCGGTGATTCTTAAA